GATCTTTCTCATATGATATTGATATCTAAGGAGTTGTGTGTTGGTGAGTAATTTGTTGTAAGTGTGTGCCCATGCCCATGCTGCCCTCTCTGTTGTTTCAGCTCATCACTGTCTACATGGTACCAGGCATGGACCCAGACAGGCTGGTGGGAGAGAGTGGCAACCAGAAGGGCAAGGTGCACATAAAAAATACATATTGAAAGAGATATCTGTATGCTAACACAACACAAGGTGACTCATTTGTGACCGACCGGCTCGATTCGGTCTTATGTAGATCAAAATTTGAAATTGTGTTTTTTACATTGGATAAAAGTAGAGACTCAGAGCTAGAAAATGGTATATCATACACAACAGTTGAGGAGTAAAGGGAAAGTAATTCTGCTTTGAAAGTTGATAAACTTTTGAGATAATGGGCTTTGAATGTTTTGGTACACCTACTGGAGAGCTCTTCTTTGTCTACAGCCAGTTTAGGTTCAAATGTCTCTCCTGTGAAGTAGTGACTTCCATCATACGCCTAGTTTCCTGAAACGAGTCACATTTCTTTTGTTTTCAATTGCAATACTACGTTTGTGTCATCTCGTGTCCATACCTGTAGATTACATCTGTCTGTGTCGTGAGTCATAAACGGGTGATGAAAGACGAAAGCAATAGTTCAATTTCAGGTCTTTTGTTTTCTGACTGTGGTTGCATTCCATTTATGTACGTATTATTTTTGTACTGTATTTACTTTGACTTTTATTTCTTAGGTAACACTGTTACAATTTTTGCGAGTGTTCCCGTCTTTTGCCCTATTTGTAAGGAATAGGACAAAACCATGGTAACTTTATTAAACTAACTTTAAGGTTTATGCATAACAAATTCTTGAGGTCCCATCTCAGTGGGGTTGACCGTTGTTGATGTTTGTGTATCATTTTGTTAAATTTTTTGTTTTGGAATGTGTATCCACTCTGGTTGCTGGAAAATATTTGTCTTAAGTGTTTCCAGGATGTTTGTCGAGTTTAGGTTGTGTATCGCAAACTATCTGGCCTAATGTTTGTCTTTTTTGAATTCGATTTGTAGATGTTTTGAAATGGGTGTAGTTGTATGTAATAAATTCAGACCTGTGGTTTCCTTTCCCCTCTGATCTCCCTATACCCCTTTGTGCATCCCCATCTTTCCGTGAACCACTCAACCTATCCTCCTGTCAGTGTGTGTACAATGTGCCGGTTCCTTGACCAATGATTATTGTATGAATGGAACTTCAACTAAATAAATGACAGCTTGTTAAAACTGATCAAATAACCGCTGAATAATCTGACTCATCATAACGTTACAACCTTTAATTTTTTACATAAAACCGGTAAACAATGTAATAAATTATGTATGTAATCATTTCAATTGATATTTCAACATCTGTTTTTTTGTAAGGAGTGGGGCAGTCCCATTCCGCTCATATTTTTTTGTTGATTGAATAGGATAGAGAGAACGGAAAGATTGTGCTGAAATAGGAGTGGACCGGATTCAAATCCATGCTGCAGCGGTATGTGTGTCCCTGAGGCAGCGGCGTAGACACCTAGACCAACCTAGGCCACATGTTGTAATGTTTTTAAAAGAGAGACTTTCCGGGGGGATGGTCTGTAACTCACTGGCATCTTTCCCAGTTTGAGGAATTAAGGCAGCCTTACAGAGTTACACACAGACCGGGTATTACACGGGATGGAAGGATGTGGTTTTCTGCTGGCACTCTATCCCACCTCCACTGACAAACTCTGTGTCCTTGTGCTTCGAGTGTCCGCCTTGAGATTGGAAGGTTGTGGATTCGATTCCCGGTCAAGTCGTACCAAAGACAAAAAATGGGACCTTATACAGTGAGGGAAAAAAGTATTTGATCCCCTGCTGATTTTGTAAGTTTGCCCACTGACAAAGAAATGATCAGTCTATAATTTTAATAGTAGGTTTATTTGAACAGTGAGAGACAGAATAACAACAAAAACATCCAGAAAAACGCATGTCAAAAATGTTATAAATTGATTTGCATTTTAATGAGGGAAATAAGTATTTGACCCCCTCTCAATCAGAAAGATTTCTGGCTCCCAGGAGTCTTTTATACAGGTAACGAGCTGAGATTAGGAGCACACTCTTAAAGGGAGTGCTCCTAATCTCAGTTTGTTACCTGTATAAAAGACACCTGTCCACAGAAGCAATCAATCAATCAGATTCCAAACTCTCCACCATGGCCAAGACCAAAGAGCTCTCCAAGGATGTCAGGGACAAGATTGTAGACCTACACAAGGCTGGAATGGGCTACAAGACCATCGCCAAGCAGCTTGGTGAGAAGGTGACAACAGTAGGTGTGATTATTCGCAAATGGAAGAAACACAAAAGAACTGTCAATCTCCCTCGGCCTGGGGCTCCATGCAAGATCTCACCTCGTGGAGTTGCAATGATCATGAGAACGGTGAGGAATCAGCCCAGAACTACACGGGAGGATCTTGTCAATGATCTCAAGGCAGCTGGGACCATAGTCACCAAGAAAACAATTGGTAACACACTACGCCGTGAAGGACTGAAATCCTGCAGCGCCCGCAAGGTCCCCCTGCTCAGGAGAGCACATATACAGGCCTGTCTGAAGTTTGCCAATGAACATCTGAATGATTCAGAGGAGAACTGGGTGAAAGTGTTGTGGTCAGATGAGACCAAAATCGAGCTCTTTGGCATCAACTCAACTCGCCGTGTTTGGAGGAGGAGGAATGCTGCCTATGACCCCAAGAACACCATCCCCACCGTCAAACATGGAGGTGGAAACATTATGCTTTGTTTGCCTACCTTAGTTGTGCGAACTTGTTCCGTGTTTAGGCTTGTATGTGTATAGCCTGAGGACTTTACGTTACGTTGTTTCTTGTTTTACATTTTAGTCATTTAGCAGACACTCTTATCCAGAGCGACTTACAGTTAGTGCATACATATTTTATTATTTTATACTGGTTCCCCGTGGGAAACGAACCCACAACCCTGGCGTTGCAAACGCCATGCTCTACCAACTGAGCTACACGGGTTTTGTTTATGTTTATTGAGTTTAATAAACATGTTCGCATACCACGCTGCACCTTGGTCTGACCCGTCTCTCAATGATCGTGACAGTGTTTTTCTGTTAAGGGGACAGGACAACTTCACCGCATCAAAGGGACGATGGACGGGACCATGTACCGTCAAATCTTGGGTGAGAACCTCCTTCCCTCAGCCAGGGCATTGAAAATGGGTCAAGGATGGGTATTCCAGCATGACAATGACCCAAAACACACGGTCAAGGTAACAAAGGAGTGGCTCAAGAAGAAGCACATTAAGGTCCTGGAGTGGCCTAGACAGTCTCCAGACATGAATCCCATAGAAAATCTGTGGAGGGAGCTTCGAGTTACCAAACATCAGCCTCGAACCCTTATTGACTTGGAAAAGATCTGCAAAGAGGAGTGGGACAAAATCCCTCCTGAGATGTGTGCAAACCTAGTGGCCAACTACAAGAAACGTCTGACCTCTGTGATTGCCAACAAGGGTTTTGCCACCAAGTACTAAGTCATGTTTTGCAGAGGGGTCAAATACTTATTTCCCTCATTAAAATGCAAATCAATTTCTAACATTTTTGACATGCGTTTTTCTGGATTTTGTTGTTGTTATTCTGTCTCTCGCTGTTCAAGTAAACCTACCATTAAAATTATAGACTGATCATGTCTTTGTCAGTGGGCAAACGTACAAAATCAGCAGGGGATCAAATACTTTTTTTCCCTCACTGTACCTCTCTGCTTGGCACTCAGCATTCGGGAGATGGACTGGAGGTAAGGCCCTGCGACAGATTAGCGTCCAGTCCAGTGGGTGTACTTGTACATCAACCTGCCTCAAGCTACAGAAATAGGGCCATTCTGGCTCAGACAAAGCTTACTTAATTTTATTTTACTCCGTGCTACATGTAACAGTGTTATTCCATTATCCAAGTGTCATTTCATAACACATCTTTTCCACTTTTCTTTATTCATTGACTATATAGTATTGATCCAAAAATATTACACGAAAAATTATTACAATTAAAAAATCTTATCATCAAAACATTACTGAACTGATAGTAATAATCAACTGATCATGTCATAATTCATCGTATGATCAAGAAAATGTCATGTTATCCATCCGTTTTTACTACATAGTCTAGTGATTTATTACATTCTCTGATTGTATTGTGTTAAAGGTCAAAAGTTATTACAGTATGGAGAATTATTACAATATCTAGTGCTTATTACATTATCAGATGCGACACAAATGTAATGAAAAGTCAGGTGCTCTTTTGTTTATAAACAGATACAAACACACTAAATCCTGCATCGTCGCTGGCCCTTAAATTACATTCTAGCAACCAGATGCGCAACATCAAACAAAAATATTTGAGGAATATGGATGGTCACTGGAACATTATTTTTTCAAATCCCAACGCCCCCTGAGAGTTGGGGTCAGCTATTTACCACCGGCCCTGGAGCAATTAGGGTCAAATGCCTTGCTAAAGGGCACAACTACATATTTCTAACCTTGTCGGCTCTAGGATTCAAACCAGTGACCTTTTGGTTACTAGCCCAACACTCTAACCTTGAGGCTACCTGCTGCTACTATTAGTGGCTATTCTATTATTAGGATTACTATTCAACCAAATAGTGGTACTATTCAACCCAATAAACAATCATCATCAGTACCCTTTTTTTAACTTATTTTCAGTTACTCGTGTTTCATTTTCCATCAACAACACATTCTGAAGCATAAACACCTGATAAAAGCAACAGTAGTCCACAGAATCAGTAGCACAGCAGCTAGAAGGAACACCAAGACATCCACAGTGTACAGCAGTGAGGACGTTATTGTCCCTTGTCTACCATGGCTATGGTCACACTCTTTCCTCCTCCTCTCGCTTGCAGGCGAAGGAGGTTGTCATACTGGTCGAAAAACAGATGTAGGCCCACAATGGGGACTCCGTGGTAGATGGCCTCTTAAGCTCCATTGGCTCCTCCATGAGCTATAAACAGCCTCTTCTTGGGATGTCCTAGTATATCATTCTGCGGCATCCAGTCAACTAGTAAGGTGTTGTTGCCCAGAGTCGCTGGCCTGTCTCCAATGTGCCTCCAGATGACCTTCTGAGGCAGAATGGCAAAAACAACCACCATCTCATCTGTTAGGTCACTTGGGAGATCCTTGACGAAAGTCCCCAAAGACATAATAATAACACCATGCTCTCCTGAACGCTGAACAAACTTCTCCAGGTCTTGGGGAAGAGGCTTGGCTGGTTTGCGCAGGAACCCTCCAATATAGATGACGTTAGGCATGGTGGGACGAGGGAACTCAAACACAAAGTAAACTCTCATGAGCCAGAAGTCAGCCCCCTGTATTAACTAATTGAAGTCAAAATACACATGGAAATACTAATTACAAACCGCTTGGTAAAAGGGAACCTAAGAACCTGTCCTGAACTTGAGCAAGCAATTTAATAAGCATATTCTTCACTCTCTGTGAAGATAATTTGGTCCGTCAGCCCTGATCCAGTCATAGGAATGTAAGACATTGGGGATGGTGTGATGGCCTGATGTCCCTCTCCAAGGGTGACCCAGTGGACGTTGGAGACTAGAGGTAGCTGAAGATAGACAAGGTCATACTGGGTCTCCTTTAGGGTCTTCATTAACTCCTTGTTTTCAATCATTGGTCACCATTTCAGCCATCATCTTAGGAACTTTAGACATGAATGACAAGGCCTCCACCTGCAGACTCAAGAAATATATTGAGGATTGTGTTGAGAATTGGCTTCACAAAGTCCTTGTCAAATCCATCAGTGACATGTACTGTAATAGAGCTGTAATATGTAGACTCCTTTTTAATGTACCAGCTTTTGTTTGTTTGTACCACAGTCACGGAGTGTCCTTGAGCCTGAAGGGCATTGATCAGAATGTCCATGTGAATCCAATAGCTTCCTTCCAGAGGAATGACCAGTATGGCACGCTGGCAAAGACACCACGAAGCATGTCACAAGAAGACATGAGGCTATGCTCCAAAGATAGTACGACATCCTTCGTGTAGATTCTTAAAGAGAAGGAATTTTATTTATTTATTTATTTATTTCACCTTTATTTAACCAGGTAAGCCAGTTGAGAACAAGTTCTCATTTACAACTGCGACCTGGCCAAGATAAAGCAAAGCAGTGCGATAAAAACAACAACACAGAGTTACATATGGGGTAAACAAAACATAAAGTAAAAAATACAAACAGAAAATATATATACAGTGTGTGCGAATGTAGTAAGTTATGGAGGTAAGGCAATAAATAGGCCATAGTGCAAAATAGTTACAATTTTGTATTAACACTGGAATGATAGATGTGCAAGAGATGATGTGCAAATAGAGATACTGGGGTGCAAATTAGCAAAATAAATAACAATATGGGGATGAGGTAGTTGGGTGGGCTAATTTCAGAATGGCTGTGTACAGGTGCAGTGATCGGTAAGCTGCTCTGACAACTGACGCTTAAAGTTAGTGAGGGAGATAAGAGTCTCCAGCTTCAGAGATTTTTGCAGTTCGTTCCAGTCATTGGCAGCAGAGAACTGGAAGGAATGGCGGCCAAAGGAGGTGTTGGCTTTGGGGATGACCAGTGAGATATACCTGCTGGAGTGCAGACTATGGGTGGGTGTTGCTATGGTGACCAGTGAGCTAAGGTATGACGGGGATTTGCCTAGCAGTGATTTATAGATGACCTGGAGCCAGTGGGTTTGGCGATGAATATGTAGTGAGGGCCAGCCAACAAAAGCATACAGGTCACAATGGTGGGTAGTATATGGGGCTTTGGTGACAAAACGGATGGCACTATGATAGATTACATCCAATTTGCTGAGTAGAGTGTTGGAGGCTATTTTGTAAATAGGATCGGTAGGATAGTCAGTTTTACGAGGGCATGTTTGGTAGCATGAGTGAAGGAGGCTTTGTTGCAAAATAGGAAGCCGATTCTAGATCTAACTTTTGATTGGAGATGCTTAATGTGAGTCTGGAAGGAGAGTTTACAGTCTAACCAGACACCTATGTATTTGTAGTTGTCCACATACTCTAGGTCAGACCCGCCGAAAGTAGTGATTCTAGTCGGGTGGGCGGGTGTAAGCAGCGTTCGGTTGAAGAGCATGCATTTAGTTTTACTAGTGTTAAAAAAAATATATATAAATTAAAGAGCAGTTGGAGGCTACGGAAGGAGTGTTGTATGGCGTTGAAGCTTGTTTGGAGGTTTGTTAACACAGTGTCCACTGAAGAGCCAGATGTATACAAAATGGTGTCGTCCGCATAGAGGTGGATCCGAGCTTCACCAGCAGCAAAGCGACATCATTGATATACACAGAGAATAGAGTCGGCCCGAGAATTTAACCCTGTGGCACCCCCATAGAGACGGCCAGAGGTCCAGACAACAGGCCCTCCGATTTGACACATTGAACTCTATCTGAGAAGTAGTTGGTGAACCAGGCGAGGCAGTCATTAGAGAAACCAAGGCTATTTAGTCTGCCAATAAGAATGCGGTGGTTGACAGAGTCCAAAGCCTTGGCCAGGTCAATGAATACGGCTGCGCAGTACTGTCTTTTATCAATCGCGGTTATAATATCGTTTAGGACATTGAGCGTGGCTGAAGTGCACCCATGACTAGCTTGGAAACCGGATTGCATAGTGGAGAAGGAACGGTGGGATTTGAAATGGTCGGTGATCTGTTTGTTAACTTGTCTTTCAAAAACTTTCGAAAGGCAGGGCAGGATGGATATAGGTCTGGAAAACATCATCACATGAGTATATTTCATATTTAAAGCTAGAATCCATTTTTGATGAAACTGCCAAGTCTGTTTGCGATATTGCAACAAAGAAGTTACTTCAAACAACAAACACTGTTCTTTTCCACTCGGACATCATTGCACGTGCGATAGGACAGCAGAATATGTACTTCCCCCAAAAAAAGCCACGCTGCCGGATGCTTCTCTACTCTTTTTCATCAACAAAATAATAACAAAGACGGTGGCACTGTTTCACCAAATCCTGATTCTAGCTTTAAGACAAGATAATTCAAAGCTTCCCTTATTTGACCTTATTAGAAGACCTAGGCCGGGATTCAATCTGATGCACCTTTTAAAGGCAATGTTCCCGCGTTCGTGTAGACTGCATTCACGGTAAACGCTACATTTGTCAGGTCAATAAGAAATTATGTTTAAATGTCATATGAAGCTGATCTACCACTGATCGATTGTATCCTGGCCCTAGAATGACCTCTAGTATTGTGGTTGAATATTGATCATTTTGGGATAGAGGGTCACCGGGCACGAAATGTCACTTGCCAATTATATAAACAATATCAGTACATAAAAGAAAACCTCTGATTTATTCAAAGACAAATCTGCCAATGTTTGAAAATAAATCTGTATGAATGAACTTGAATGAATCCTTTTGTATGAACTGAGTCTGAGCTTGTGTGGTTGGTTCTTATCTGGTTCTAGTAAGTTCAAAGGTCTTCCCCAGTCAGTCAGGACCTTGTCATTCTGTTAAAGAGACAGCCCTGTTTTGCATAATTATATCAAGTACCTGTCCTGTGAAGCATGTTAGCCTAAGATTCAGACCATGTGCTACAAAGCGACTATTACTTACCAAATGGTCCGACAAAGCTCTTTTTAAAATTCTCATCCGAATGCATGTTAAGGGGAAACATGAACTCAGATTTTGAGCAAACATGCTGATTATTATACACATACGTTTGTTTTTTCTACAGAGGTTGAGATCACACGCTGTTTGGATTCTAAGGATCATTTTCCAAATGCGGTGGCTTTTGCTTGCACTATTAAATGCAAAATAAAAGATAAAGTACAAAGAACTTACATCCATTTTATTATTGACATGGGGGGCCAATTCCGGCCCGAGTTAAGCGAGTGTAAATGGAACATAATTACATTTTTTATGCACTTTTCTCTCTATGTGTATTCTGACCTTGAATTTAAGCATGAGAATAGCGTGCTATTCACCCGCTATTCGTCCGGGATGGAGATCTAAGAGATGAGGGTGTGGCGGAGGTGTGCTACAGATACACCCTATTCTGAGCTCGACTAATAATTCCACCACCTTTTTTTAAACACTTTATTTTGTACGTTTTCAAATTTGAGAACATAGAGACATTGACATCAATACAACATCCCCAGTCCTTTATCCCCCCCCCCCCCCCCCCACCCCACCCCACCTCCACCCATCCGTCCCACCCACCCAATCCATCAAGGCATCATACAAAAAAAACTGAACATTAAAGATGTATCATAATATATATAAATGAAAAAATAGTAAACATTTATTAAATAAGATACACAAAAGACAAAATAAAATACAATGAATAAAATAAAATAGGTGTCACAATAACTATGGAAACCTATTCGCACACTGTTGACATATGACATAACTGCCTATCCCGAAAAATAACTATAGCAATTCTCCACTAGAAGCTCAAACACCATCTGGCTGCGGGGACCCGAGGGGGCTCACATCCCCGCCCCCGCATCCAACGCACTCGACTCCAGTCAGAAGTTTGCTAATGCGTTGGTCAATTGAATCAAGTGTGCCGACATTAGGGCAAGTACAAAGACTTGCACCCTCCTGTTGTATTCGGCGCATGTAGCAAATAAAATTTGATTTGGAAGGCGGGTTAATGTTCTATATCATTTACATATTTTTTTTCATTTTTAGTATACGCTCTTATCCAGAGCGACTTACAGTTAGTGAATGCATTCATACTGGCCCCCTCCCGTGGGAAACGAACCCACATCCCTGCCGGCCGAACCCTTCCCTACCTTGGACCAATTGTGCGCCGCCCATGGGTCTCTCGGTTGCGGCCGGCTGCGACAGAGCCTGGACTCGAACCAGGATCTCTAGTGGCACAGCTAGCACTGCGATGCAGTGCCTTAGACCACTGTGCAACTCGGGAGAGTCATTTAACCTGGAGATTGTGCCCTTCAGATAGGGGTTAAGGTCTAAGCACCTCTCAACTGGACACTTTGCAGGCGGTTTTTTAGCAAAGCTGCGAGTTTGGAGATACTGTACCTAAAGAAGTGGGTATTGGGAATATTATGTTCAACCCTCAGAGTTTCGAATGAGACATGTGTTATCAACAAAGAGGTCACTAAAAAACACCAGGCCATTCCTATACCAGAACTGGAATGCTGTGTCAATTTGCGGTCCTCTGTAGCTCAGCTGGTAGAGCACGGCGCTTGTAACGCTAAGTTAGTGGGTTCGATCCCCGGGACCACCCATACACAAAAAAAAAACGTCTGCTAAATGGCATATTATATTGGCTCCGGAGTGGAACCATTGACTGGAGTTGGACTAGGCACCGGGTGGAGCGGACTGCTCTGGCTCCGGAGTGGAACCGTTGACCGGAGCAGGACTGGGCACCGGTGGAGCGGACTGCTCTGGCTCCAGAGTGGAACCGTTGACCGGAGCTCGACTGGGCACCGGTGGAGCGGACTGCTCTGGCTCCGGAGTGGAGCAGCTGACCGGTGCTGGACCAGGCACCGGTGGAACGGGCACGGGCCGTGCCGGACTGGAAACACGCACCACAGGTCTGGTGCGAGGAGCAGGCACGGGCCGGACCGGACTGGGAACACGCACCACTGGTCTGATGCGAGGAGCAGGAACGGGCCCCGTCCTCCT